GGTCCTGTGTCATTCCTTGTGATGTTGAGTAGAGTGAGGGTCCTGTTGTCATTGGAGAGCACCAGCCTGGGACTGACCGGGAGGCTCTGATTGTTCACCCACCACAGGTTGGTTGTGTTCTGAGCCTCAGTTTCACAGGTTAAGGCCACAACATCCTCATCCTCCACGGGGTTGGAGTTGCTGCTGTTGATGTAGGGCTTGGACAGCTCCACTGTGCAGATAACAGAGATAAGATTGCCCTGTGTGGCACCTGTGATTCCTCCACAGGCATTTTTCTTTCTTCCTTTCTTTCTTTTTTTGGAGATGGAGTCTTGCTCTGTCACCTGGGCTGGAGTGCAGTGGCGTGATCTTGGCTCACTGCAACCTCTGCCTCCTGGGTTCAAGCGATTCTCCTGCCTTAGCCTCCCAAGTAGCTGGGATTACAGGCACATGCCGCCACGCCTGGCTAATTTTTTGTATTTTAGTAGAGATAGGATTTTACCATATTGCCCAAGCTGGTCTCAAACTCCTGAGCTCAGGCAATTCATCTGCCTTGGCCTCCCAAAGTGCTGGGATTACAGGCGTAAGTCACTGCTCCCAGCCAAGCATTTTTCAGAGTTGGCATCTCCCTACCTTTCAGCCAACTGAAGTCCTTAAAAGCCCATGGCAAGTGTGTGTGTCACAAGACAGATGTACGACGATCTGAGGGCTCAGAGACCGTGAGGCCTCCTGCTCTGCGAGGGAGAAGCATAGACTTTCTCAAGTGTGAACTGAGCAGCAGTGCTGGGTTGTGGACAGACATAGGACTGGGAGTAACAGCTCCCAGCACTTCTGGTTCTTCCCTGACTGGCTGACATCTGTGGACCTCACCTGGAACATGCAGGTGCTGGGTCTCTTCCACCTTCACAGTCCTACTTTGCCCCATTAGGTGTGTTTTCTCTGTGGCTTCCCTGTCTAAGGACATCCTAGAGATGGGTGATGATGTGACTTCCCATTGTCCTTAAACCCTGAGGATACTGTGCAGCCTGGTCTGGGACTGTATGTTTCTGCAGAAATAACACAGGGGACTGGCTGGCGTGGTGGCTTGTGCCTGTAATCCCAGCACTTTGGGAGGCTGAGGCAGGCGGATCATGAGGTCAAGAGATTGAGACCATCCTGGTCAACATGGTGAAAGCACATCTCAACTAAAAGTGTGAAAATTAGCTGGGTGTGGTGGTGTGTGCCTGTAGTCTCAGCTACTCAGGAGGCCGAGGCAGGAGAATTGCTTGAACCCAAGAGGCGGAGGTTGTAGTGAGCCAAGATTACGCCACTGCACTCCAGCCTGGATGACAGAGTAAGACTCCATCTCAAACAAATAAACAAACCACAGGGGACACCAGGGGCAAGCCTGGAGGTCAGTTCAGTCGTCAGCCAGTAGAATCGTAAGGTGGGGCAGTTTTTCCCAAGTGTCTTATGATGACTGACTTGAGCTAGTGACCCCTAAAGATAGAGTCCAAGAAATGTTCTAGAAAAGAGTGAGGTGACAGGCAGGAGCTGCCTGGATTTATTAGCATAACTATGTTCCTTGTCTTTGGTCTTTAATGTCCCTTCTCCCACTGAAGAGGGCAGGTGAGGATGCTGTGGATGTTTTCTGAATTGTATGGGGTTTTTGCAAATACAGAATAACCGTTGGTGGAATAGAAAGAGCATGAACTTGCTGAAAATCGGACCCTCGTGGACCGTGTGTGTTTGGTAGATCTGGGATATACATTTGAGAAGTTAAATTCTTCCAGATGTGAAAATCGTTATTAATACTCTGAATCTAAGACCCACTACTAAGAGGAATATTTCTCTAGAGAACGTGATAAACTCTTAAACCAAGCTTTAAAGTCCAGTAGGATCATGTTATGATCAAAGAAAAACGCTGAAGGCAGTTTGAAATCAGTGACTCCTGGGTAGAGGGGACCCACGGGTCCTCTTAGGAAGACAGAACTTGTCAGAAGGGACATCTGAAGGGTCTCAATTACATAAAGAGAGAAATGAAGCCATATGAGGAGAAGTGATGTATGTTATGTTAGTAAATTTAGAAAGTTCTGTGTTACAAATTCCTGTGGAGATTTGGGTGAAAAGAAGAGGAGCCCAAAATAGTCATGTGAAATATTTTCTTCCCTTTCTCTCAACCTCAGGAAACACAATTAGAGTTTGACCAAAGTTGTCCAAATTGGGCAGAGTCTAAGTGAGAAGACAGTGGTTGGTGCATCTTCCTGTCCAAGGGACCCCACCTTATGGCAATGGTGTCATTGTGAGGACACAGATGTATGTGGAAGGGGCATCAAACCCATCAGACAGCACCCGTCTGGCCAGCTCCACCTGGGGAAGGTCCCAGGAACCACTAGAGGATGTGAGCCCACAGCAGGATGGGGATGGAGTTGTGAGTCAAATGGGTGAAGTGAGCCCATGGGCTTTGGGGACTGCAGACCTGTCATTCTGCCTCTGACCCCCTGGTGAATCAGTGTAGAGAGTGGATGGAGGAGTCGCTCGTTCCTGTCCTGTGGCCTGTTCCACATGTCGGCCTCACTGAGGGAAAGAGCCCTGGATGGGGACACAGTGGAAGCTCGTTCTCCTGGTGACCTGGGGACATGGACTCATGATGGAGCCTGGCAGGGGTAGTAGCTGCTCTGGCTGATTTCTCTGCCTTTCCTATTGCCTGAGAGGTGGGCCTGGCCATAGTGTGAGTGGGAAGGGAGCAGGACAGTCAGCCTTGTTAGAGGGAGTGTCTGGGGAAGGCCTAAGGGTGGAGGAATAAAGGGAGAGGAAAATGAGGACATGGAGGAGCAGAGAGAGTCAGAGATGCCCATGACAGTGAGCAGTGGGGGCTACCGTGACCTCAGAGACCCCAGCAACCAGGAGCTGGGAGCCCTGAAAACCTTCCCACAGCTGAGCAGCCCCAGAGTTACATGAGATGTGGTTCTTGGAGTGGCTTTAGGGGCAGATGGTTAGGGGATGGAACATGGGTTCAGTCCCTGGAGGGATGAGGTGAGTTATGGCAAGAACCTCCTAGGATTCTGCAACCAGATCCGGTCTCTAAAGAGGTTATGGATCATTCATTAATTCATAAGAGAACTACTGAGTGTATGTCTCATGTTGGACCCTGGCTGGTGCAGGGTGTGAGTGGAGAGAGAAAGCAAAGTCCTTTCCTTTATCCTCCTGTGGGTGTGATACCAACACATCAGGAAACACAGGATTTCAAGTCCAGGGAGCAGGGGTGTGAGTCTTGAGGGGATAGGCCTGAATATTTCTTTTCTTTTTTTTTTTTTTTTTTGAGATGGAGTCTTGCTCTGTCTCTCAGGCTGGAATGCAGTGGAACGATCTCAGCTCACTGCAACCTCCACCTCCTGGGTTTAAGCAATTCTCCCACCTAGGTTTCCCAAGTAGCTGGGATTACAGGTGTGCGCCACCATGCTGGTTTTTCTATTTTTAGTGGAGATGGGGTTTCATCATGTTGGCCAGGCTGGTCTCAAACTCCTAACATTAAGTGATCTGCTCACCTAAGCCTTCCAAAGTACTGGCATCACAGGTGTGAGCTACCACACCCAGCCCAGGCCTGAACATTTCTGACACTGACTCTAATTGTTGAATAAGTTCCAGAATAAAGCTTGGTTAATTCTCCATTTGCTCTTACTCCCCAGACCAGGATCTCCCCTCTGGGCTGCAGATGCCTAAGAAGGAAGGAACTGAACCAACTCTGGTACTGGGGTTCACAGATGCCAAATAAGGCTCCTGAGTAGAGGAGAGGTTGAGGCTGTGCTTGAAGACAAATCTCCTGTAACTCTGATCTGCCAGTTATGGATCTGTGTGATCTTGATATAGTGATTGTATTGCCATGTGGCTCAGTTTTCCCCATAAAATAGTATAAATGGTTAATGATTTTGGCTTGTCTTGTGGTCTATGGATGAACCTTAAAATATTTATAGTTATTTGACCTCAGCTCTGCATAGGCAAGTTGCCCAAATAAACAGCATTTATTTATTTATTTTTATATTTTTTGAGACAGAGTCTCGCTCTATCACCCAGGTTGGAGTGCAGTGGCACAATCTTGGCTCACTGCAACTTCTGCCTCCCAGGTTCAAGTGATTCTCCTGCCTCAGCCTCCTGAGTAGCTGGGATTACAGGCAGGTGTGACCACGCCCGGCTAATTTTTTTTTGTATTTTTAATAGAGACTGGTCAGCCCTGCCCAGGAGGCCACAACCTAGCCCTGGCACAGGCTCCTCAGGGTCACCAGGGGTTGGGAACTTTGGGATAGTGTTTTGGAGCAGGGGATTCCCAGGGCTGAGTTTTTCTGTGAGGATCCCAGAAGTCCCCTCAGGCCAGACCCTAAGTCCTACTGGGTCTTTCTAGGGGATATGTTCACCAGGAAGGTCCTGGCAGGGCTAGATTGAGACTGATCTCCCCTTGATAAGTTACCTACATCATACTATCCTTCCCCTGAAGCAAATGTCTGCAGGATCAGGATTCCGGGGTAAGAAATTTGATATTTTGCTATCTGTCCTATAGTGTGTGTCCTGCCCCAAATGCTCAAACCTTATCATGAGATGTAATGTAGAGGGGGACACAGACACAGCCCAGCCCTGAGAATCCCGTGTGTGGGAAGCAGAACTGACTGCAACACCCAGAGGTCATGGCAGGGAAATACTCACGGTATACACGGAACTGGCCTGTTGCTTCTGTATTCACAAGATTTGCCGTTATGACTTGTAGTGTATAGAATCCTGTGTCATTCAGGGTGACGTTCTGGATCAGCAGGGAGGCATTGGGGTATACTGTCTCTCGGCCGCTGTATGCGGGCCCTCGGGTAGTTAGTTGAGTTGCTATTACATATCCTGTAATTTGACGGGTGCTGTCCACGCTTCCCCCTTTGTGCCAGTTGAAGCCAGTAGTATCCTGGGGCAGATTGCGGGCGAGTAGAAGAACCTCCTTCCCCTCTGCAGCATTGGATGGCACGGATTCAATAGTGAGCTGGGCACTGGTGGGCGGGTTCCAGAAGGTTAGAAGTGAGGCTGGGAAACAGGAGAGAGCATCAGTCAATATTAGGACCTGTGCATTGGATGGAAGGATGGGGCCCTGGGTCCTGAGCAGGTCTCTTTACTCCTCCACCTTAGGGGGTGTGTGTGTGTCTATGTCTCTCTCTCTCTCTCTCTCTCTCTCTCTCTCTCTCTCTCTCTCTCTCTCTTTCTCTCTCTCTGTGTGCGTGCGTGCATGTGTGTGTGTGTGTGTGTGTGTGTGTGTGTGTGTGTGTCCTACTGGGTCAAGGTCAGCAGAGTGACTCCATTCCTTTAGTGCCTCTGACCTTGTCATTTCTCTGGAATGCTCTTCCCCAGGGGTCTGCACGGCGCTCTCCCCACCGCCCTCAGATCCTGCTCACATCAGGGAATTCTTGGGAGACACCTTCCCTGACACCTCCTCTAGAGACCCTGGGTCTTCCCTTTCTGACCTTTCCCTGCTCTGTTCCCTCCAGGGCTCTTGTCAACACCGGACCTCACATTCTAGATCTCTTTGCGTGTCTGCCTTCCTCCCCATGAGAGCGTCAGCTCCGTGAGGACAGGGAGTTGTGTCATCTTGGTTGCCCCACTGTGCCTGGGACTGGCTGCAGACTCCTGTGGATCAGATCATGAGCGTTCCCAGAGCCCTCCACGTCCTGGGGTTTATTTGCCAATATCTGAGGTTGGTGACTCAGGGCTCTGTTTAATGCCTCTTTTAATTTTTTTCCCTTAATTGTCACACTGACTTAAATTGTGATTATTGTCATCAGTTTTTGAAAAATGTATTGCTCATTGATGATTCACTTGGAAAAGGTAAAAAATGGGAGATCGTTTCTTCCCTAACAGTTTCAGATCACTGAGACTTTCCTTTTATGATTTCTCTCTCTCTTTCATGTCCTCTCTCCTATTTGGCTCCAAGGGAAGCCCTCTCTCCCCTCTTAGAGCCCAATCCTCCCCAGGAGACCTCAGCTATTCTCTGTGCTCCCTCCTTCCACCCCATTCCCAGGGAGTCCTCTCCTCACCTGTGAGCAGAAGCCCCTGCCAGGGGACACACACTCTGTGAAGTTGGGCTGAGAGGTGCCCCATGGTGTCTGCTGCCTGCGCTGTCTTCACCTGTGTAGAAGAGCCTGGGCTCCAGGAACGCTTTGAGCACGGCTGCTCTGACTGTCAGCTCTGCTGTTTTTCCACCCTCTGTGCTGAGCCTCCTCCCTGGGACCCAGAGCTTTGTCTGGTCATGTGTGCTGGGGCGGGGTTTGTGCCGAGGAAGCTCTCTGTTTCCTCTCCTCTCATTCCTGCTTTTGTCCTTACTTTCTCTTTCCCTGCTGTTTACATTTTGGTTTCCCAGACCACACTTTGAGAATCAAGGCTGATGGGACCTCTGTCCCCATCAGGGGAGGAGGACTCCCCCATCTCCAGGACTGACTGCTATTGTGTCCTGGCTTTGGGTCTCTCAGCAGCACACAGAGAACCCTGGCATATCCAAATGTGGTAATTATTTCCTTTGAGACACAGTGAGTTTCCAGGTCTCCTCATGTTCTCCAGTGCTCTGGGAAGGTAGGAAGATACCGAGCAGGAAGGTGACAGAAGTGGCTCTGGGGGATAGAAAGGGACTTATTGGGGGATGACTGGGGAGGGACCGGCCCCTGTCTGTAGTTTCACCAGGCAGGCCTCTGACCCAGGGACAGAGACCCAGGCCCAGGGGTCTCAGGCAGAGCTGCAGCTCCTGGGTGTGGAGGGAGGTGTCCTGGGAAGAGAGGACTGTGGAGGAGGGAGGTGGGTGTCTCTGGGCTCTACTGTCCTTGGGGAAGGCTTCAGGGGCACCCTCCCTCTCCATGTCTGTTGGCTGAGCTGAGGCTCAGGGCCTGTCCATGTTCTTCCTGACCGTCCCAGGTGGCTTCTGTTCTCTGTGAGGCTGACTGTCCTGTGGTCACCGCACCTTCCCCATGGGTGGTGTCAGGAGGGAATGGGGAGCTACACAGGGACCCCTTGTGGAACAGGGTCCTCAGAGGACCCAGGAAGGGACAGAGCAAGTATGTGGGAGGGCCCAGAAGGGTCTTTTGGAGCAAGGGATGGAAAGTGGGCTCTACCTTCACCTCTTTAGCAAAGCCAGGTTCACAACCAGGGGAATCCATTTCCCGAGTGTTGTCTGTGTGCAATGCCTCCCCCTGGAGGGCAAGACGAGACCTGCGGCCTTGCCAGGGACTGCCCCAGGGATGCTGACCAGGGTCCACATGATGTGGGCTGGCCCTGACCCCTGGGCAGAGGTGGGCTCTGACCTCCAGGCTTCAAGGTCAAGGCACCCCAGGTCCTGTTCACTGCGGGTCCGCAGGCTGCCCTACTCCATGCAGTACAGGATGAGCCCAGGGAGATTCGAGAGAACTGTCCACTAGAACTGTCCCAGAGGTTTGAGAGAAAAAAAATGGCCCAGTGAGGTGTCTCTAGGGACTTGAGAATGAAATCCTATCGTGTGGCAATGTGAATGGAGCTGAAGAATGTTAAGTTAAATGGTCTAGGAACAGAAAGTTAAGCACCACATGTTCCTACTAGTATGTGGAATGTGAAAATAGTTGATTTCATAGAAGGAAAAAGTACAACAGAGGATACCAGAGGCTGGGAAGGGTAGAGAAATAGAGGGACAGGAAAGATTTGTTAAAGGAGATAAAATTACAGCTATATAGGAGGACGAATAAGTTCTAATGTTCTATACCACTATAGGATGGCTATAGAGGTTATTTATTTATTTTTTTGAGAAAGGGTCTTGCCCTGTTGCCTAGGCTGGAGTACACTGCAGCCTCAACCTCCTGGGTTGAGTGATCCTCCTGCCTCAGTCTCCCATGTAGCTGGAATTATAGGTGCATGCCACTATGCCTGGCCAATTTTTTGTTTTTTCTTTCTTTTTTTTTTTTTTTAAAAAGAGACAGGGTATCACTATGTTGCCCAGGCTGGCCTTGAACTCCTGAGTTAAAGAGGTCTTCCCATCTAGGCCTCTCAAAGTGCTAGGATTATAGGTATTAGCCACCATGACAACCAAATGTTTTGATTTTTTTTTTTTTTTGGTAGAGATTTGTCTCATTATGTTGCTCAGGCTGGTCTTGAACTCTAGGCTCAAGCAGTCCTCCCGCCTTGGCCTTCCCAAGTGCTGAGATTATAGGCGTGACCCACCACACCTGGCCTGACTATAGTTAACAATAATGTATAGTTCCAAGTACCTAGAAAGAGGATATTGAATGTTCCCAACACAAAGAAATGCTAAATGTTTGAGATGATGGATATGCTAATTATCCTGACCTGATCACTATACCTTGTAAGTATTACATTGCTATGGACCCATAAATAGGTACAATTATTATGTGTCAACTAAAAAAATACAATTAAAAAGTCATTTAGAGCTAAATCATGATGTGACATGTTTTTTTTTAACCTCTCATCTCTGGCAAACAACACTTGGCAATGGTAAAACATGCTCAGGAGCTGTGGCTTTTTGCTTTAATGCACAAACCAGCTTGTTTGTGAGAATGTGCCACCTAATCTGAGTGAACCTACATAAGATCATCACCCTTCCTTCGGTACCTCAGAGAAGGACTTATAACCTCTGACTCAGGTGTGTGGAGGAGGTTGTAGGCGAGCCACTTGCTGGAAGGAAGGCCCGTGGGTCAGCTTGAGGAGGAATCCATTTGTGGAGGCCACCAGTTGGGGCCACCAGGGCCTGGGTGAAGAGGGCCTTAGGGCACAGGACCCAGGGGGAGAGAGAAGGTGGTCCACGTTATCATGCAGGCAAGTGCTTCAAGTGTCTCTTAACTCATCTATGGCAGGCAACTCACACTAACATAGCAACTCAGCAAATAAAATGAGGATATTATGTAGCTCTTCCTGGGTCAGGAGTTGGGACAGGGA